ACAAGAAGCACCAGAGTGCCCAGGGGCAGCTCTGGCTCCATGTGGCAGGGGGCTGTGGTGTCCCGAGTGAAGGCAACCAAAGCACACAGAGACAAAATGCTTTGCTGTGCCTCATCGAGGTAAGCAAGCAAGCAGAGAAAACTGAGAACCGGCTGTCGGGGGAGGAGGGTGTCACTTTAAGCACAGGCCTCAGATAGCCTCAGGCAGCAGCCACACAAAGTAACTCCTGACCTGATGCCCTGCCAGATCTGGTTCTGGCTGGCATTAATGCGATTCAGGGTCCACTCAGTGTGGACACGCTATTTCAAAATGCATTTTGTGTGTAGACGTGTTATTTCGAAATAACTTATTTCGAATTAACTATTTTGAAGTAAGATATTTTGAAATAACACTGTAGTGTAGACATACCCTAACAGATTTATTTGGGCATAAGCTTTCATGGGTATAAAGCACTTCCTCAGATGCATGACTCAGATGCCATGCATCTGACCAAGTGGTTTTTACTCACAAAACTCAAGATGCCATGCATCTGACCAAGTGGTTTTTACTCACAAAAGCTTATGCCCAAATAAATCTGTTAAACTTTAAGGTGCTACAGGCCTCCTCATTGTTTTTACCACACAAATTATTAAGAAAACACTTCTTATAAAACAGAATAGGTGGTGTTTTTAGCAGTGAATATCTCATATTGTGTTGATAACTTCATGCAACTCCTCACTCTTCCAACCACCTTAAAAAAAATCAAGCTTGCAAAGCTAAGCACTTAAAAGTCAGGAAATTCCTGGATTAAGGTTGCCTGTGCAACCTTACGCTGACAGGGTGCATCAGATGCTGTTTCTTCTGCATAGCTCCTGGCCTTATTCAGAGTCCAGGCTTGATGATTAATGGGGCAGCACTGCAATGTCACCCAGTCTTGTAATATCTGAGAATTTATTTAAAACCTAGTTACTGAAGACGACTCACTATGTGAGAATCTCAATTTGTTGGTGTGTTTAAATGGAAGTTCCTAGCTCTTATGGCTGTGGAGGAAAGCTTGAAAACAAAAGCAGAGTGTAACCTCAAGGCTCAGGAACTTGAAGCCAAATAAAGGGAACCCAAAATAATCTCTGTTTTTAAGAGTCGTCGCTCGTGATTTCTGGGCGCCTGGTTTCTCGGACCATTTGAAGTTGGCAGTCATGCATTTTTGTGTCACTACGGAGGGAGGCTGTTGTCTGCTGTGGGCCCTGAGCTGTAGTACAGTGCATGCTAGCCACGCCCACTCTGTCCCAGGGCTGAGAGCGGGAGAGGGCATAGTCCTTGCGCCAGTGCAGGGGGTAAGGGAGGATTCTGGGCTGGCCACTTCCACCCGATAAGCCATTGAGCCCTGGGCCCACTAAGTTGAGATGCACATAAAGGCGGGCTGGGTGTCAAAGCTGGAGCTCCCGGCTCTCCCGTAGGGCGGGCAGTGACTCTTCTCCGCTTCTCCTTGTGCTGCTCAGTGGGGAAGCAGAGCCGCGACCCTTCCAGCTCCTACCTACCCTTCTCCTGGCCCTTTTCTCCCCTGCCTCCTGCAGCGCTCCCCCTCTTCTCGCCTGCGGCTTGTGTCCCCGCCGTATCGCCCCTTCCCGCTCCCC